GTAAAACACTTTATATATTTTGATGGTAATGTTCAAGAGATGGTTTAATTGTATGAACGTCTAGTTTTTGTTATTTTATTTTCTATGATTTAAAAATATTACTAGTGTATTTAAAATTTCCAAAAAAGTATTTATCAAAAATGTACATGCTTATAAGTTTTAAGCATATTTAACTTGTTCCCTTATTAAAATTAGTGAAATTGCGGTCCATACTCACGGATAAGGCTATATTTAGGAAAGTAACTATGGTACTATTACGACAAGGAGTGGACAAACGGGAATATGAGACGGAATTTCATGGGAGCGGGACGGAAACAAGATTTTCGGAACTAGAAAAGTATGTCCCATTTAAAATTTGAGAAGGAAACGGGATATAACGGGATGGGACGGGAACAGTACGGAAATCCCCATAAAATAACGATATAGTCGAATCAAAATGAACTAAACATAAAGTAAACTACATAAATATCTCAAATCAAACCATAAATCCAATAATATAAATTTTTCTAAAAAGAGGTTGTTATTCTTCTCTCCCGTATCATCCTTCAGCCACCGCAATCCGCAAATGATTGCTTTTGGAGTTCTATACAAGAAAAAAACAAAAACAGTAGTAATTAGTTATTAAAACTAATATGTTGATGCGGAAAATATTAACGGGTATGTTAAGGAGGTAAGAAAATGTACTGTTTAAACATTACTTTCTGAAACTTCATCCATAAATGCATGCTCTTCCATCACTTGCTTTACGGTTACTCCTACATCATATTGTGGTGAAGATCGTAACCAATTATGTGTTCAAATCAGTGCTTCTACCATAGAAGAAGCTAGGCAACTCCTATACTCATTCAAGATTGACCCCGTTCTCGAAACGGGTCTTCGTCTTCTTTTTCTTCAACCCCCACATCACTTAAATCAAACTCTTCATCTAACCCATCTATACTTGCATCAAGAACTGTTATGGAAGCATCTTGATTACCACTAACTTTGGATGATTCGGCTGAGGCTTTGTAAGATGCATTATACACTTCATAAAGCTTACACAACAAGCTCCCAGTTTCTGCTTTCATCTCTACAATTCTTTTATTA